TATGCATGTATGTATGTATGTATGTATGTATGTATGTATGTATGTATGTATGTATGTATGTATGTATGTATGTACGTATGTACGTATGTACGTATGTACGTATGTACGTATGTATGTAAGTATGTGTGTGAGTATGAGTGTGTATGTGTGTATGTGCGTGCGTCACGTGCGTGTGTGCGTGTGAGCGTGTGCGTGCATGCGTGTATGTGGATGTGCATGTCCAATTTATGTTAAACATCCAATGTACTGCACCAATGTATGTAATTGCCGAACCATATGTTAAAATATGTGGATGTATGGGCCAAAGGCCTTTCAAATCAATAAATCATTTTGAATCTTTGAATCTTTGAATCTCTCTCGCTCGTTCTGCCTCTCTCTATCTCTCTCCCTCTCGTCTCTCTTTCTCTCTGTCTCCATCTCTTTCTTTCCTACTGTCTTTCGTTTGCTTTCTCTTTCTTCCTCTCTCTGACTCTCCCTTTACCCCTCTCCCCTCTCCTTCCAAGTCTTCCTTTCGCTCGCTCTCTCTCTCTCTCTCTCTCTCTCTCTCTCTCTCTCTCTCTCTGTTGGTCTCTGCCTCTGTCTCTGTCTCTCTGTCTCCCTCTTTCTCCCCCCCCCTCTCTCTCTGTCTCGGCCTAGCTCTCTCCCTATCGCTCCACCCCCGCCTCAAAGTAGAAAATGGTGATTACATTACATCTCCACCCTTACATTCTTTAAGACAGTCATCAACATTTGTGAGGCAGCGTGGTGGAATCACGCTCTCGTCAAAATTATCAAAGTGAAAAAAACCTGCATTTTTGCGAATTTTTATCAAATTTTTGTTTTTTCGCTCAACACCTTTCATGCCCACTAAAGAACTCATTTCTGTGTGGATTTTTCTGAAAAACGTTGATTAAAGGCACCAAAAATGTAGATTTTCAGTTACCACGGACTCTTAAGCTAAAGAAATAACCAACCGTAGGCGGCCATTTTCTCACTAATTTTACCTCTGAAAACAGGTGACCCCCACCTCCTTCATTCGCCAATATCTTCACTTGTATTCAAAATAAATGGACTTTTTTTCATCAAAATAAAGACAAGCGAACAAGCTTTAAAAATATACCAATAACTTGACATGCCTAAAAATTGACGAGAGCCTGATTCCACCACGCATCCTCCCATTTATCACTCACAGTCACAGACTATCAGTACAATTTTTGCTGCACCGTCTGAACGGCGTATTTTGACCACGATAATGTAGCAATCTCCTTATCGGATACAATAGACCCAACCAAAAGTAAGCTTATCCCCGAATGAGCCGCAAAATCAGATGCAGTCGTGAAACAATCCGTATTGGTTGGATGCGCTGATTAGAAAGTCTGAGAACTTGAGCTAAGTTTATTTTCTTAGGCACGGGAAACATAAAAGAGTGCTATGAGAATGATCATTCGTCCCGGGGGATCCTTGTAGGAGCTGTGTGTCTCGCCATTAAAACACCCAGCCACATTTCAGACAAGCTCTTCACATACGGTTAGAAGGGTTAGAACAGTAACCGAGTTTGCTAAACTCTAAAATAAGCCGGCGCCCCACTTTTGCGACCTTAAACAAATGCTTA